CTGACTGCGGGTGCACCTCTGTGGTCGTTCTCATCAGAGTTCATCCACCACCTGAGCCTTGTCATCCTCCCGCGAGTGCACTAATCAAGCCCCGCGATGCCTCCCAAGTTTGATCCCACCGAGATCAAGACCGGTAATGCTTGAGATTTTGTGTAATAAAGAACATCATTGACTGATGGTGACCCGTTGGCCATGATGGTTCCGGCGGTCGCAAGGTAATGTAGGAAAGGTTGCTCCTCTAGTTTTAGCTTTAGGACCTCTAGTTCGTAAGTTTCCCCAAGCTTTTCCTCTTCTTCCGTCGAGGCGGTGGTGAGGCGTCTCGGGAAGGTCCTCTGTTAGTCCCTCTGTTAGTCCCTCTGTTATTCCGTTGCCCTCGTGTTTGCCGTTGCCCCACGTGACCGAGTAAACACGAGCAGCAGGGAAAGCTGTGTGGGTCTCAAGTAATGCTGTTAGGAATAGGGAAAATTACTTGGAAGTCAACAATACAACCCATATTACAGCTTCATTTAAATTTCTATAGAGTAACTGAGTTACTTATCCACAATATGTAGGATTTCACTTGTGATGTGTACCTCGCAGTAACTAAACTTCAACATTCAAGCATCTTATGAAGCACTAGATCCTTGGCTCATGATTCTTTTTATGACCAGAATACCTTCATATGACTACTGATATTAATGTGTTTACAAGAGTATAGAAATTGTGCCACTCTCCCTCCCATTACTCCTTGCTAGCAGGGAAGGGTGTTGATGGTACCAGGGAAATAGGTGAAAATAGGATATACAGAATTAGCCAATATAGGCAGATGCAGTGTTCTCCCCCCCCCCCCCTGTAATCCACCAATTGGGGTGCTGCCTCCACCTCGTGTACAGCAGGATAGTGTAGTGCAATTGGCACCCCAAGAACTCCCATTTATTAGTGCAACATGAAGAACTGTGGCTCTGGGGAGGTTGTAGAGTTAGTCTCTAAATGCAGCTGCTGCAGCTGTACTTGTTTAACTATTTCTTATGCTCTATAAGATAATATCCAGTCCCCTCTAAGCGTAACATTAACCTATGTGGGAATGAGATGGTAAGGAATCCATCAATACTATCGTCGTGCAAATGTATTCTGAACAATTGCCCGTTTTCAGTAGCAGAGTAATTAAGAAGTTCTTTGAATTAATTAGCCAATATGTTACTGTATAGCCATCATGCTCATGCAGTAAAGTTGAGCTTTCAGATTGTTAGTGGTCATTAGTAAGGGAACCTTCTAAACACAACTTCCCAAACCAGCAAGATTTTTAGGCTGTTTCCAGTGCTTGGCTCAAGCAGGGTCAAATGTAGGCAGTGGTTGAAAATTTAAAATTTCATAACTGTTTACGTATAGATAGACCATGTTGAGTTTAACTTGGCTGCCTTGGGCAAGCCAGTCCTTGTATTTTGAAGAGTTTATTGAGGCTTCAAAAGTGTTAATTGATCTAGTTTTAGTCCACTTTACTAATATTTATCCCAAAGAGTGAAATTAAATTCCATTCTTAATGGTAGAATATTTTTCACTTTCAGTTGTAGTTAATCTTGATATTTGATGCTAACTTCAATCCAATTTTTTTCATTACTTTTAAACCAATTTTTGGTACTAATTACCACGTCTTCAACCCTTTAGTGTGTCTAAGATGTGTTGGCGGAGAAATGGCTGCCACCTCTTCCTTGGCCCCCAAGATCGGTCCCCTCGGTCTGTCCCCCAAGAAGGTGGGTGACGATATCATGAAGGCGACTGGTGACTGGAAAGGCCTTAAAGTGACTGTCAAGCTCATCATCCAAAACAGGCAGGCCCGAGTGGAAGTTGTCCCCTCAGCTGCTTCCCTAGTTATCAAGGCACTCAAGGAGCCCCCACGTGACCGCAAGAAGGTCAAGCACAGTGAGTTTTCCCATCAGCCATGTTCTATTCTTGATTGTAGGCACAAGGTGTTTATTATTACGGAACCCCTAACATTTTGAAGCCTTGTTTCAAGGGCGCTACAAAATATCGTCGAAGTTTGTACCGACCTTTTTTTTTTTTTTTTTTTTTTTTTTTTAAGTTGATAGAAATCCCATTAGAGTACTTCATATGCTGGAGTGAATATTAACCCATTCAGCATGGATGGCAAGAATACTTGCCATGCCCACTGTAATGTATTGTTACACAAGTGCTTAGTTACCAAAGAGTTGGTTATTAGTCCTACCAAATGCACCTGTTTACCCATGTCCTTCATTTTTCTGTAAGTCCCCACCCCAACCCCTCTAAATCATATTTAGATGAATAACCATATCAATGTTAACTCCATCCTGTACACGTGTACATATCATAACTTGGTCTATGGATTACATCTGTGCTCACAGCAACATGCCCAGCATCTGGACATTGCCAGAATTTGAAGCCAAGATATTTGATACCTGGCCATGTTGGGTTAATAGTATTAAAGAAAGTTTCCCACAAATTAAGGAATTGGGAAATTGGGCATGGTCACTAGGGCAAGTCG